ATATATATATATATATATATATTAATATATATTATATCAATTTCTTTTTTTAAAGAAAATTAGAAAAAAGACAATGTGGATTTACATAGTTTTATTTTATCTTGTACAAAAGAACCACGTGAAACAAAACTCAATGACAAAATACTTTTTCAGGTTGCGCACATAGCACACTTGCAGCAACAAGCCCAGCACTTGCAAAACCTACAAGTGCTTCAGTCGCATTCCCTCCTGTCTCGTCTTCCACAGAACCTGTTACAAAGCGGCGGTGCGCAGAGTCCTGCACAAGGCACAGTTACAGCTGCCAGTCTCGGTCAACGTAGTCGCCTTCCACCACCGGGTTTCCCTGGATCCACGCCAAATCACATGAACTCATTCGGTCTCGGTATACCACGACCAGCTCCAACGAATAGCACACTCTCGGGTTAGTGTTTCTCCAATGTTTTTTGAGCGTCAAAGTTCCCACTTCGCAATGCATGAAATTCTCTCCTACATGTTTACGCACACAATATCATCTATCGCGTTTTACATAACAATTAAAAAACGAAGATGCGTTGATATATCCGCGACTTTTATTCGCACGAAAGATGTGCTTTTATTCGCACGAATTTTTCTTGCTGTTTAACATGAGTTTCAAGATTTCTTTCTATTTTTGCCCACTTGTGTACTTGTGATACACTTGTCTACCGATGATTCACTCGTCCAGTATTATGTTTACAGGAGCACAGCCACCACAGCAGAGCGCATACCTTCCTAATGGAAACCCACTCATCAACACACAAAGTAATTTCTTCTACTTTCTTTCTCACTCACATATATCTCAATGATAAATGTTCGTGGCTTAACGTCCAATTCGATTTCCAGGTATCGGCAAGTGCGCGGGTGACACAGTGTATACCTTGAAAGATTGGTGCGATATCAACAATCAACAGCAACAGCAGCAGTTCCACCACCAGACGCTGCACCAGAAAGGAGGTTGGAACAATTTCGGACCGATCGCCGACTGGACTTCGATTGATCCGGCCATAGTTAGTTCGTCTAGACCTCTTCCATTCCAGACTACTAGCACATGGCAGTTTTCTCATATTCATCCTTCTCACACCGTAGCTCACAATGCGCAACAGGTATTCAGAGCTCCGTGTATCCTGCGCAAAGTAATCGACAATACAAGTCTGTCATTTGTCGCGTCAAATTGTGAAAGATTCGTCGCGAAATTATCACACAGGATTATCTAATTCGAAGTAGTCGTTATCAGAGCTCCCATACACCTGTTTAAAAAGAAGTCTGCCCATTCTCTTTCTCGAGATTTAAAGACTGTTAAAAGTTAAAATTATTTAATAACTGACGTACGAAAAAGAATTTCCTGTCTCATATGCTAATTGTGAGTTAACTTATATAGGTTTTTTTTTTTGTGAGAGTTCTGACGAGAATATAAATGTAAATTAATTAGCATATTATATAAAAGAGCACGCTGAGATATGATATCATATACAAAGTCTCCTAATATCACTGGTAGTCAACGTATTAAAAAGTTCAAAGCAGCAATTGTATCTTAGACAGATCGGAAAGATTCATCACACATTTTAACAAATATTTTAACAAATTAAAAAGAGTAATTTTCTAAAGTTCGAATTACGAGTTATGTCGTAGCTGACGTGAGAAAAAATCCTCTGTTCCATATGCTAACTACAAGTTAACGTAAATTTCCCTTCTTCGTGAGTTCTGCCGAATAATAAATGTTAATTAATTAGCATATTTAAAAAACACGCTGATTTGAAAACGCGACGTTGAGGACAATGTTCCTTAATGTCACTGTCTATTTTAAACAAATTTAAAAGATATGATATTAGACAATAATTTAACAAATGAACAAGTTTTTTCGGCAACGACTTAACTGTAATTTTCTACCAATTTATTATTCGTCGCCTAGTGAAAGTATCTGCATCCTGTCGAGGCCGCAAACGTAACATAATTCACGTATTCCTTTCACACAGGAACAGAACGCACCCGCTCAGCATTGGGCGATGCAACCACCTCCCGGCTTCGCTGCACCTACGACCACGGGACAACTGAATAATCCGCCGCCGAGCACAACCGCACAGCCGCACACGAAACTCATCTCCACCGGCTCGGAAATCGAGAGTAAGTTGGTCGCGATAAAGCTCCGTGCAAACTGAAAATACCATTACAATGCTGCCGCGGTATCGAAATATACAGGGCGTCTATGATATTGCAGACCTATAAGTCTTATGCGAGGCGAACGAGTGGCGTCATAATTGTGTTTCTCCGGACGTGGCAAGATCAAATATCCAGCTAATGAATGAAAATGAAAAACGAAAGAAAAATGAACGAATGAAAGATACAAAACGATAGAGCGACAGTCAATAACGTACGTTTTCCTCCAACACATGTCTATGTCTCACGTTTTTATTCTTAATCCATTTATTTGAGTTTACTCTCGACTCTGAGACGAAAAATGTCGGAATATGAGTTCGCGCATATGAAATGTAACAAAATACTTTATGCGTCAATACATAAACTTCTCACAATACTTCTCCGAACTGTAGCAAAATTTATTCGTTTAGTTTAAAAGTGTTCTGGCTCCAACATTGTAACGAGAAGCGGAGCTTCCGTATAGGTTTCTGAGAGATGCATTAAAGAAAACACGACAGCCAATAGTCTCTCGATGAAAAAAAATGACTGAAACTTCGTTTCGTTCGAATGTTTATTGTTAGAATTCCGTTTTTGTTGTAACGCGTTAGGACGAAATAGTGTCTTTCGTCTGCAAATTTGAGATTAAAAAATATAAAAAGAGAAATAAATTCAGTTGTAAACGAACGTAACGAAACTTCGGTATGTGTTGGTCGTTTATTATTTAAAGGTGATGAAAAATCCGTTTTAAATTTAGATAAAACCTAATTAATTGGAAAGCTTCATCGTTAAACCAAGACTGTTACCTTTCCCTATCCGATAATACGATACGCCGTAAATCACGGTATACTTATTTGTGCTATTTTACAATAGTACGTCCGCCTTGCGAATGCAAGATTGCAACGCAACTGAGGAATTTGAAACTTAAGATTTTATGCGTTTTATGTGCGATAATTTTAAACAGTCAGAATTCTTTTATCCCTGATTTTAATACGATACGCCAAATAATGTTATATACTGCGATGGGAAAAAAAGGTGGCGTGTTTTATCAGTTCTGCGCACATTATTTTTCCCCATCGTCATCGTTATATCGTATCGCGACACCTTCTGACTAATACGCTATTAAGGGCTTACAGGACTAATAAGTGTAAAAATTAGATAAAATTTATGAAACTGTAAAAAGTTGTAAATTAATAGAAATATGACTTTTTTTATTACGTATGTCTATTAACAATATCTTGATATAAAAATATTAAATTTTATGGTAAATATTAACACATCATTGTTTCCAATTCTACTCTGCAAAAGAATCATGCTTCAATCATCTTGGCCTCAACAGGAGTAATCTAGAATCAGTATCAATATATTTATTTTATTCATCAAAACTATAGTTATTAATTCATAAAGTGGGCTTTGAAAAAACAATATTTCGCAAAATGAAAGTTATAAAAAATCAAATTTAATTCTTTTTTACTGAAAAATTCGAAAATACATAAATGAAAAATAGTTTTAAAATTTGCGGAGATTCTCCGTGTCAACCGAAAACTATATTTTATTGAATAAAAAACATATATACATATTAATATTGATTTAAGATTATTCCTATCACTCCTATTGAGAAACCAGATCACTCCAAGTCGATTACTGTTGTTGAAGCATGATTCTTTCGCAGAACAGAATTTAAATAAACACAGTGACGTTAATATTCATCATAAAATTTAATTTTTTATACCAAGATATTGTTAATAAATATACGTAATAAGAAATTCATACCTCTATTAATTTTTCAACTTTACAACTCACAAATTTTACCAAATTTTTATTCCTGTCAGAGTTCTGTAGCCCATAGCGAACAGAGATTAGTTTAAGATTTCGTCAACTTGGTTTCGATAATTGTTTCGTCGAAGATATCGAATTGTATCATGAATCATAAATGGATCGAGCGGAACAGATCGAATCGGATTTTAAAAGACTTGTGTATTCACATTACGAGGGAATAGTGATATTTCTCCGATCTCTCTCGACAAGGCTATCGATGTTGTACGTCTAAGGGAAACTACGGACGGCTGTCCGACGTATTAACACAGCCTCACACGTATACACAAGCGTAGCCACGCATATACACATACACACACCCGAAGACACACACACACACACATACACATACGTTCACATGTGACCATGTATTTTACTTACGCGAATCGAAACGAAAAAGAAAAAAATAACAGACTGGGAATATTAACACGATGTGTACGATAAAATGCGAGAAACGTCTAAGCGATGTACCACGATGTACATACCACGGCGCGTTGTGTCGAACGGAGTTATTCCCGTGGCGGATCATTTGATCATTGATCGTGTCTGCTGTTTTATGAACGGAATAACGAATGAACACGTCACATATATAAGAGAATAAATAAGATAATAAAACTATAATTATAAAATTTAATTCTCTCAGTAAGGTAATCGAGAAATATATAATAATGCGCAAAGAACATCCGTATAGTAGTCGTGTTTTTATTATTTCTTCTCATACACATCCCTCGTCGACTTAGTAATAAGTCTGAAGACAGGTCCTCATAAATTGGTTTAATATATTTTAAAACTATTTTGGCAGGATAAAATAGATCGAAAATAAAGCAGCTAGCAGTGCACTATTTCCCAGACAACATAATATCTAAAATTGGGACATAGGACACCTTAGAGATCATCTTTAAGATGTCTTTCAGACGATTTACGTATAAATATCTTTAAGGCGTCTTAAAGATTATCTTTAAGACGTCTTATGTCCCGATTTTAGACATGTTGAAACGGCCAAGCGCTTATATATCGCATTCTGACCTGTATATTTTAACCAATTTTTATTTCTCCCAAATAATGTTTATGTGGGTTATTTCTAAGAGCTTTCAAAAATATAAAAAAAGAAAAATCGATTTTTTGAAATCTTAAAATTAAAAAGAACTTCCTTTAATATCAATGAATTTGATAATATCTAAGAGCTAGCTTTTATCTTGTCCGCTTATATGCTTTATTTCTTTGTATAAATGAAAATTGCATTTATTATCAGAAATAATATATTACACACTTACAAGAAATTTCATTCTAATAACTAATAACATCGCTTAATTATATTCAGGCACAATGGAGAATATTAATAGAAAATTTCGAGAAGTTTGAAAATTTATCTTGCTATTATTAAATCAATGTTTTCTATTTTTTAATTATAATATTATTCCGATTTTAATGGAATTCTCAAGGAAAATTTATGTTCTAAAAGGACCATTTCACGATTTCTCCCAAGATAGCGATGTAGCATTGATGTAATGTTATTGTTAATTGTTAATTGATGTTTACCGAAGCCGTTTCGTAACCATTGTTATTGCTGTTGCTATCGCTAGTCTTGACAGCTAAAGTTATCGTTGGTGCACATAGTGTCCGAGTCAACGAACATGTAATATGATTTTCCTTCAAATTGATTCCAATCTTTCGTGAACCTCTTCGTACCTGCAAATATTTCAACGATATTATAGAATGGTTTAATTTTAATGAAATGTAAGAAGAATACAAAATAAGAATATATTATAATATAAAAGTAGAGAAACATTATTCTACTGTTCTATACACAGAAAAATATGTTTTTATGAAATACTCGAAACAAGTAACATTTATTTGAATACAGTATTTTGCTGTCTATAATTTTTTTTATGTAAAAACATCTTGACGACATTTGATTTGCATAAAAGCAAGCGCTAATCTCGCACTTTAATGTCGCAGAATCACACTCACCCCTTTCGCTGCTTGCGGAAGCTACCGTCGGGAAGCTGGCAACGTTTGTTCGCCATGAAGTGACTACCCTGCGCAAATATCAGATGTTCTAAGTTAATCAAGTTCCTTGTGCCTTGAACCTAACCGCTGGGCTCGCCCGTATCCTCGTTCTTTTCTCGCCTCTTACGCTGCGATCTCGCTTCCATGATTTCATCGGCGTCATCTTCGCCCTTGCTCGTGTCTAACTGCCGCAAGATCTTCGCTAGAATCGGGTCGTCGTTCATCTTGTTACGGATCTTTTGTCTTTCCGATTCGGACTGTGACGACGCCAGCATCGTACAGCACGCGACTGTAAATTAACAAAAGGAAATAAGACAAGAGAACATTGAGATAAATGTACTCTGCATAAATGTTACTGCACGTAATAAACTGACTCCTTACAATGTTATACGACGTAGATGTCTGCCCATACGGTTGCAGCGATGTGCAAAACGTTTTTGTTCATTATTAGTTGAACGTGAACTTTATTAGATATGAATGGATTGTCTTGGTAAACCCATAATTCGCAAGTTTATGCAGAACGTTACGGTGAGTGAATCGTGAGTAAATATAAAGAAGTTTGTAAGAAACTCTCTTTTGCCGACGCGCGCATGAAACTCGCAGGAATTTCTTCCTTTTTCTTCGTCGGGACACTCGGCGAAGAGTTTTAAAAATTTGCGTATAAAATCGATTTTTTACGAGGATTGATTTGATTAACTTGAAAACATCGCGTATTGTCTTACTTCAGAAGATCCATTTCTTTCTTAATGCTCTCGTTAAATTATTCGTCCAATTTTCGTTTATTTTTCGCTGGATGATTTATTTTCCACATCTGAAAAAACATTTTTACTTTAAAGAAAACTGCGCATCGACAGCGCGAGTTGATTTCATCGCGCACAAAAATAAATTTTAGTTTTTCCGACATTTTTGTCGGATGTTTGTGATAATTTATTTAATTGCATGCGTAACATGATAAGCTGTGTTACGTCGTTATGGAAAATATATAACTGCAGAGCGCAGCGATTAAAATGGAAAACTGATAGATAAGTAACATTGTTGGCAAACAAACGAGTCAAGGTGAAGATAAAGCAGTTTATTATTATAATTGATTAAAAGATTATTACACTATCTCCAGTAAGTACCAACTATCAATAACGTAACATTAATGTTATATAATCTTCTATTCAACATGTAAATAAAATATAACATATAACAATTACATTGTTGAGCGAGAAATTGTAACATTGCAATATTATTGTTAGTTAATGTTTACTAAGGCCGTTTCGTAACCATTGTTATCACTGTTGTTGTCGCTAGTCTTGACAGCTAAAATTATCGTTGGCACAAAAAGTATCCGAATTAACGAACGTGTAGTATACTTGTTCTTTATCTTTATCAAATGTTTCGTTTTTGCCATCTATCCAGGACCAAATGTTATCCAGAGGTGTACATTTGATTGTGTTAGACTGTGGATAGTTAGGTCTGCAAGAATATCAAGTTATATAGAAACGATAAGTAGTAAATATACATATATGGTATAAATATAAGTAATAAATATTATTAATAATTAAAAGATAAAGAGAGTCACGATAGTAATAGCGAGATAAATATATAAATCATATAAATGATATCTAAGAACGTTCATACTTTTTCCATCGCCATATGACGTCCGGATATCTGAAAAAGAAAAGTTAAATAACATACAGATACAATTATATATATACAATTATATTATAGTTTCAGTAACATCTGAACACATGTTCATAAATATTATACATTTAAGATGCATAGTACAGTTTAAAGGTTTAAAGATTTTAAAGGTTTTCTGTATCCCATTTCTCTTGTATTAAATTTTAATAAATAAAATTAATTTTATAATTTTAATAAATTAAAATTAAAATTAAATATATTTTGAATAATAAATCTTCCGTCCATTAAGCATTTTTTGCACAAGATATTATATTTGATTTTTTAATATTATTAGAGCTATAATAGAACTGCGTTGAAAAAAATTGATGATTTCTAATTCAGCTTTTTTCAGTTCTTAGGGTGATGTTACCCTTAATATAATAAAAGAAGACTCGATCGTGACGAAGCTTAACACATTGACTGCTAATGAAATCACTAGATGTCGTTAGAATATTGCCACGTCTCACAAATTTACACATAAAACTTAATCCCATAGTTATATATAACACAGTAAATACGTAATCAATCGAGAGCCAGTCTAACGAATATATATACCGTAACTTGCATTTGTTTACCGTATCATTTAAACTTCTGTCGAATATTAATATAATAAATATAAATTATCGTAACAGTCAACGTATTAAATAGTGAAGAAGAATCAGACTTACGACATAGGAACACTAGGAAATTTACAAGTACCGTCCTCTATTATTTTGGCCAAGTAGAGAACAGCGCTGCTATGTGAGCATGCTATATTTAAAGGACCTGAAATATAAATTTACTATGGCGCACCTTTTTTTCGCTTGTTCTTTTATTTTACTTTCTTTTGAATTTACTTTACATCGTTCAAATAACATGTACCTAGATTAGGTTACAATCTTTTTCTATGTATGTGAAGAGAAATTTTGTTACTTACATTTTGGCTGCAGGGATCCGCCATTGAAATAAAAATCGGTGTGGCCAATGGGACGCGTCATTCCGAGTGTAGATGTGTGCAACGCTATAACCAGATCTGCATCTTGCTTACATAATCTATCTTCGCACTTATTCAACATAAACAACGGCTGCGCAGGATCGAAGCCGATTAGAAGCGGGATTTTCTGCCGACTGTAGCCCGACTCTTGAATATGTTTCGAGGCGAATCCACACACGTGCGCGCCAAGACTGTGACCAAAAAATCTGATGTTGTTCACAGGAACACTGCATTTCTGGTTCAACGATACGACGTAACTGTAAAATAAGATTTGCATGAATATCTTGGAAACAGAAAATCTCCTTCTACATTTTCTCAATCGTTAGTGTTGTAAAAATTCTCCTAAATTAGAACTTTCATGCCTGAGTGAGTTTCAACAAGAGTTTTGCCAATCTTATAAGTGATGGTTTACTTGCCTAATTAGCAATACTTTCACTTTCACTGAGTATTTAAAAATATATCAATTAAAAAACCACAAAATATCATTAAGGTTCTTAGATATTCGCTACAGAACTTCGGATTAATGACGTCAAAAGCGAGAAACACATATCCGAAATCTTTGTGTACAATTTCGACATAACAAGATATTTTTGTGAAAGAACATTTCTAATCGCTTAAACATACGTGTAAATCGTTCCGAAAATTATCCTTTAACAGTTAATAAATAGCTGTAAAATTAACGTGACATGCAAACATTTCTCTTTAATCTACCTTCCCTCTTTTTGCCACGTTCATTTTATAGCTATTTATTGACTATTAAGAGGAAAGGATAGTTTCCGAAACATTCTATAAGTGTACTCAGCGATCTAAAGTATCCTTTGATGCAAATATCTTTTTATTTCCAAATAGCACATAAGAACTTCCAGCATATTACTTTTTACTTCTAGTCACAAGCGTTTTGCGCTGCGCTGTCAGCAGCTTTGTAACTGCTGCAAGATTTTCTGATGAACGATTACCGGTTTACGCCTTTCCAATATATTTATTAAGCGGTCGTCATTTATTCTAGCGTACTTTCAATATACTGGACAGCTTAGTAAACATCTTGGAAAAACGTTAACCGATGTGTCGTTCAAAAAAAAATCTTACAACAATTGCAAAGCTGCTGCAAACGCAACGGAAAGCGCTTACTACGTTGCCTTTTCTACTGCACAATGTCCGTTTGACATTTTTTATGGCACTTATATTAAATTTTCATTTAATGTGACGTATATATGGAAAATAGTTGTACCTAGCCATGAGTTCACCTATTTTACGAGTGTTAATCACCGCAGCAGGGTATGCTAAGAATTTTACAAGAGGTAGGCCAGTCGTGCATGCCGCGTCAGTCCAATCCAAGGAAAATACCGTAACGCCTTTCTGTAAAAGCGGAGATATTACGCAATTTTCAGATACTTTATCTCCCGTTTAAGTACCACAAAACAATCGCCACTATTCTTTCATATATTCTCTAAACAAATAAATAAATAAGTAATAAACGGTAATAAGTAAATTATATGTGTGTGTGTGTGTGTGTGTAAACTAGGCATTTTCGGACCTATGTTCATAGGACCTTTTCTGTTCACCTTGATCTGTACTATCACTCTGCAAAGTTATGACACAGCCTTTTTCTACACCCTATATATATATATATACGTATATACATATATATGTATATGATATAGAACTCTAGAACTATTGTAAAACAAACCGAAACTCTAAAGAAATAGTTAATTTAAATAGTTTGTTTGATTAGGTGCGCT